AAATGGCTAATTGGGCCCAATTTGGACATTTTCACTTAGGGGTATACTCACTTTTGTTGCCAGCGGTTTAGACATTAATGGCTGTTTGTTGAGTTATTTTGAGGGGACAGCAAATTTACACTGTTATACGAGCTGTACACCCACTACTTTACATTGTAGCAAAGTGTCATTTCTTCAGTGTTGTCACATGAAAAGATAATAAAATATTTACAAAAATGTGAGGGGTGTACTCACTTCTGTGAGATACTGTATTTGGCACTGTACATGTGAGATAATAGGACAGTGAGCCGTCTGTCACAAGGATTCAGAAATACACTCAAGAAGCTATGAGCAGCTGCAGGTAAACTATTAGAACATAGGAATGCTTACATAAAAGTCTGTTTCTCATCTGGGTGAAAATACAGCAGCAATAGCACCTCTGTGTGTACAGTGTAAGGCCATGTGGCTCATTTCTCAGTCTTTCTCTCTCCAATTCCTCCTTCTGCGGTGTTCAAAGTTCCTCTCCAAAATAGGAAGTGCTAATATATAATTTTACATAACGCTGTTATATTAGTAGCTGACAGCAGAGGACAACAGATTCCTAAAGTACCATTACCCTTTGGAAAATCATATTTATTGCATATTACAAAATATATTTTTTACATTATCAGATTCAAATAAAAACCCAGATATTACTGGAATATTAAAAATTGAATATTATTGCTGGGTGTGCCAGAAACAAGTTCATCAGCTTACACTCTCTCAACATCCTTTTTACTATATTTTGGCACACCACTTATACAAAAAAATATCATTTACACTTGTGACATAGTTAGATCTCTGAATATTTAACTTAACATTAAGCTGTTGATGGAGATGTGATCTGGACAGAAAAAAAAAGGGAGACAAGTCAAAATTCTGAACGTAAGAAAATCGTTAAAAAAAATCTGACAATGATAGATGTGCATGCATTAATCACTGTTTCTAAAAATCTACACGCACATTGTTCACTAGACATTTAATATAAGATGCCAGAAGAGTAAATGATGTACTTTAAAGATGATAATATTTGCATTGGACAGAGTCTGCTCATTCTTTGTAGTTCATGAGAGTCAGGGCTTTGATACAGTATTTGATTCATTTGAATAGCAACATGATTTTGAAGTTGAGGCTTGAGAAATATTTCTGGCTAGTTAAAGGGAAGGGCGTAATGTACACAATATTTTATATAGTTCTTCATCCATAGGTCCACCATATGAACTATATAAAACTAGCAGGGGCAGCTATGGCCGTAAGGCCCTTGATTCAGCATAGTCGAAACATTACACAGCGGTATTAACTATCTATCTTCAACCCAACAAAGTCATTTGACATTTTCCTATAGACAGATCCACCTGAAGTGTCCTCTGAGGCCTGACAATATGCAAAGACACCAATCATTTTTTGAGAAAGATTCCCCACTGGTATCCTCAAGTGATAGAATAAATTAATAGATCACTTTTAGACCGTGTTCACACTGGCATTAAAAGCAGAAGTTTGAGGGGCATATTTAATGCTTCTCAAACTCCTATGCAAATGATAATATGGAGAGTGCTGTTCACATTATCAAAATATGAAGCAGTGTCCTGTTGCGTTGCTTCACTTCAAAATTGAAGCTTCATGTGGAGTTTGAAGGAGATGAAGCCATTCAAGTCTATGATAATGCACTGCAAATGCACTGGCATGCGTTTGCTGTGCATTTGCAGCGTGGTTGAGAATCGTTAAAATGATTACAGGTTATTTTAAAAATATATAGCCGTTTGTGGTGCTGTTTTAAACGCATGTCAAATGAGCCAAAAATGCACATAGGCGTTTGGGAGAGATTTTTTTCGCACGCGTTAAACGTGAGTCAAATGCACCCATTAACACTATAGGAGCGTTTGTTACGAGCTTTTATTTTCCTGCTACTGAAGCTGGTCATAGAAGGCTAGAAAATCTCTTGTAAATATGTTTGCATTTGATAAAGATCTGTCGAATGAGCATTCACGTATGCCATCATTTATGCAAATTTCTTCTCCCATTTGATGACAGATTGTTGTTCGTTTACAACATAAAAAAGGTAAAATTTTTGTTGATCGATTTCACATGCTGATACGCACTACAATTTTTTTTCTACAATTCTAACATGCCATTTTGGTTTATTTCCAGAAATCTTTGCATTTCGAGAATTGAAATGTACCCACTAACATTTAGAAAGTCAAAACATCGAGCTTTTCGAAGATTTTTCAATCCATCTATGGCCAGCTTTAGTGAGGCCAATATACTAAAAAAGTGTTTAAGAATATTTACAAACAATATGAATATTCAATTATCCAATCATGTGATTAAAACAAAATCCCTATTTAATCTGCACAATTGGATAATTAAAGTGAATATTCTCACATTTTCTGCAAACATCAGTTAGTAAATCAGCCTGATTGTATTCTCTTATCAAAGTATACAGGAGAAATCCAATGTATATATAAAAATAATGAATATTCACACAATTTTTGTGCAAAGATTTCTCAAATTTTTTAGTAAAATCAGCCTGATTGTATTCTCTGATCAAAGTATACAGGAGGAATCCAATGTAAATAAAATACCAATAAAGTCATGAAAAATGGCAATAAACAATATAGAATTTGAGTTAGGTGTAATACAATAATCATTTCTAGGGAATAATACATTGTAATTGAGCAGATGTATTCATATGCTTATGGGGGCAATACTGACCAGAAACATTTCTTAAGGGAGCTATAATTAAAAATGAAAAGCAGTATTCTTCCCACCTGTAGCACACAGACTTGGAAATGGTTATAGTTACAAGTCATTTATATTTTACAATCTTTATGTGTCTTTCCTAATACCCCAGACAATTTTAAAAGGAATTGACAACATTTAACCTGCTGAAAGTTAAATATACAACTGGGATTTTATTGATTAAAAACTTTAAAACTTAAACAAAATGGTAGTACTATGGGGTTCTAAGGCTGGGCATTCACATACTACAGTAAATGTTTATGAATGCTAATGCGTAACATTAATGCACAGTTTAGGTGGTTTTCTAGTTTACCCATACATTTTTCCAAAAATCTTTTTAATGGCTTGAAGATTAAAGATAAATAATTACATGACAACTAGGGTTGCGCCGATACCATCATATGGACGGTGCTGACAAATCAGATACTGTCTAGCCCGTATTGTCATCACTGCAAGGAGAAAAGAGAAAGCCAGGGGATTTTAAATCCCTAGACCCGTGAAGCAGCTCTCTCTCTACTCCTTGCAGCGATGGTAGCTTGGGCCAGACGGCATCTGACTGGTCAGCACCGTCCATGGGACGGTTCTGCTAACCAATCAAAAGTCCTCTAGCCAGAACTGTGATCCCTGCAAGGAGAGGAAAGAAAGTGAAGTGGATTTCAAACCCCCACCACTTTCTCTCCTCTCCTACCAGTGAGAATATGGAGCATCTACCTCCATAGTATACATCCCCACTGCCCACTCTGCTATGGGAAACATCCCTGTGCCGCTCCTGTGTGAACTCAGGCTATGACAAGCCTGGGTTCACACAGGAGCAGTGGGGAAACAGCATGCGATTTAGACAGAAATCGCATTCCTGTTCAAATCGCATGCTATTCTTTGCAGTGCAATATGCGTCCATTAATGCAAATCACACCGCAAAGTATTGGTAATCAGTATCGGCAAGTACTTGACCGAAAGTACTCACCGATAACAAAAACCGGTATCGATGTATCCACAACGACAACAAACAAGGATATAATGCATTTTCTTTGTACAATAACTGAGCTATCCATCTTATTTTCATTCTTACTGCATGTGTGTGGTAATCAGATGTCTCTTCTGACTTCATTATGAAACTAGTAGCACTCAAAAGACTATTTTTAGCAATTATGCCATTGGCTCCAGCTGTTATCAATCAAATCCCATGAGGAGTGAGCGGAGGGGCAAGGCTAAGCCATCCTGTGTGTGTGTCTATGGACACACACAGCTCAGCTCAGAAACACCCACGTGTGCCCCCATAGCAATTGGCTTGCTGTGGTAGCACACATAGAAGAGCCTAGAGCACGAGTGGTGAACCTCAGAAGAGGAGGTTTGAGGCCACTTTGTGAATACCATTGCCCAGAGCAGGTAAGAATAACATGATTATTTTCATGCAGCAGAATAAAATGCACAAAGATATTTCTGCTCCAGGTGGATTACAGGCTACATAGGGATCCAAATACAAACAAACTGGATGTACTTCCACTGTTCATTATATATAGCCAGGCTGTGGTGCATTGCTTCATACAGACAAACCCTCTTCTTCTACTTGGAGGAAGAAGTAGGAGAAGGTCTGCCTTTGTGAGTCTGTACTACTAGTAATAAAAAGTTTGTCAAATTTTAACCACTTACCCTTCAGAGGATTTACCCCCCTTCCCGACCAGGCCATTTTTTGCAATATGGTGCTGTGTTACTTTAAGTGATAATTGTACAGTTATGCAATGCTGCAGCCAAAGTAAATTTTAGCCCTTTTTTCCCCACAAATATAGCTTCTTTTGGAGGTATTCGATCACCTGTGCGTTTTTTATTTCTTGCACTATAAACAAAAAAAAAAAAAAGACCGTTCTGAAAAAAATATGCGTTTGACTTTTTTCTATAAAAATATCCAGTAAAAAATTTTTTTTTAAAAATCTAATTTCTGCATACATTTAAGACCAAATGTATTTTGCTACGTGTTTGCTGAAAAAAATATCCTAATACGTGTAAATTAATTGGTTTACGTGAAAGTTATAGCGTTTACAAATGGCAGTATATATACACACCGGAATTTTTATTTTAATTCTTTTTGTACTAGGTATGGTGGTGATCAGCGACTTATAGTGGGACTGCGGAACTGTGGCAGGCATTCTGACACTGGATGCAAACTGACTAACTGCCACTGACATCCCAATGACACTAATACAGTGATCAATGCTAATACAAAAACGCACTGACACTGTACTGACACTGGGCAGGAAGGGGTTAACATCTGGGGCGATCAAAGGGTTAACCGTGTGCTGTTTTACTAAGTGGACTGTATGTGTTTTACTTGGGAAACATGCTGCTGTGTATTTCTCTGCTATGCAGAGAAATACAAAGCAGCATTTTGTTGCTGGCAGGAGACCTGTGTTGTTTACACACAGGTCTCTCCTCTGTCACTGTTCCTCGGCGATCGCTGGATGCCGGTGAAGAATCTCCGGTCGGGACATCTGTAGCAGCCAAGGGCGGCTCGCACGCCCCCTACCCAGAAATCAAATATGCAAATCACTATATATAAATCACTATATATATATATATATATATATATATAGACTTTGCGAAGCCCTGCCTAAATGACATCTACACTGCCAGCTAAAGTATTTAGGCAGCCGCAGCATCCGAAGTTACCCGAGTACCCAAAGAGTGACTGCATCTGATTGAATTAAAGTATTTTCCACCTGGCTCAGTTGATTTTTAAATCAACTTCTGTGCAGCCATGTAGTGCTGACAGGGCTGAAATTAGAGCCGAGCATGCCCAAGAGCAGATGGTAGAATCACTCTCTTACATTTATAAAATACCAATGTATTTACATAGGTAAAAACATAAAAACAGCAAGGCATTTACATATTGCATAAATTCACACCATTCTCATTTAACCATTTCCCATCTGCCCTATAGTAGATATACTGCTACAGGGTGGCACGGGTGAGCAAACTCACGCATATATACACGTGATTTTGCATGTACGGGTAGGGGGGCTTGAGCGAGGCTTGCGCCAGCCGGTGACTACTCGCTGGTGCCCGGTGATTGCAGAGGATCTCCGACAAGGGGGGGGGGGGGGGGAGAAATGTTAGTAAACAAAACAGTTCTCCCTGTCAGCTTGTGCACACTGCAGTGTGCTTACAGTGAAGCACACGGACACAGCCCCATAGTAAAAACACACCTAGCACACAGTTAACCCCTTGATTGCCCCAGATGTTAACCCCTTCTTGCCCAGTGCCATTAGCACAGTGTCAGTGCTTTTTATTAGCACTGATCACTGTATTGGTTTCACTGAGAATGTCAGTGACACCAAGTCAGTTCTCCCCGTGTCAGAATGCCCGCTGCAGTCCCGCAATAAGTCGCTGATGGCCGCCATTAGTAGTAAAAAAATAAATAAATAAATCCCAGTATATATATATATATATATATATATATATATATATATATATATATATATATATATATATACATATATATATATACATACATACATATATACACACACCGCTATTTGTAAACACTGACTTTCAGGTAAACCAATTAATTTACACATATTGGGATATTTTTTTTTTTAGCAAAGACATGTAGCAGAATACATTTTGGCCTAAATTTGACAAAAAAAAATTTTTTTATTTTTTTACTTGACATGTTAAAAAGCAAAAATATTGTTTTCTCAAAATTTTTGTTTTATAGCACAAAAAATTAAAAAAAAAAAAAAAAAAAAAAACAAACGATCAAATACAACCAAAAGAAAGCTCAATTAGTGGGAAAGAATGACGTAAATTTTATTTGGGTGCAGCGTTGCATGACTGTACAATTGTCAGTTAAAATAACGCAGCACTGTAATGCAAAAAATGGTCTGGTCAGGAAGGCGGGTAAATCCTCTGGAGGACAAGTGGTTAAGAAAATGTTATGATCCCTGTCTAAGGGAGCAGAGACATTTCCTTTCTCTTCCTACAGTGTCTTGAGACTGAAAAATTTCCCAAAAGAGACAGAAACACCCAAAAAACTAAAAAAGAGGCTTTAAGGCTCCATGCACACTGGCAGAAAAAAAGATGGTAATTTTGTACTAGCATTTAAGAGTGTTTAGCGCTTTTTTTTTTTTTTTACAGAAAAACGCCTTTAAAAATGCAAACACAGAAGATTGTTTTTCTGCCTCTAAAACATGGAGCTTAAAAAATGCCCAATGTGCAAGGACACCATAAGTTGCTTCTACAGGCAAAATGCTAAAACTCCTCTAGGAGCAGCAATTGTTTAAGCCAGTGTGCATGGAGACTAAAGCAGCATTAAATCCAAAACCAAAAATGTACTATATTGCAGCTTACCATTATATGTGGTGGCTCCATCAGTTTTCTTTTCTCTGGCGTTTTCCTCTCTGTTTTATCTGGTGATCTATACAGCAACACACCTCCTGAATTAGAGCGCCCCCACTATGGCTGAATGAGCACAAGGGGCGCCTTTGGACAGCAGCATTGTCAGTCTGGGGGGAGGGAGTGTTAGAAGTACTAGTGAATTTAAATACAAATTGAAGCCATACTCCAGGTAATACTATAAAATATTTAAAACAGTTGCAGCAAACAGTTGCTTTCCTTTTGGGATAAAAGGTTTTACATATATAAAAACTGATCATTGCAAACACCCTTGCTAGTGTTAAATGTTTTGTCTCACCTCTGTAACTGATATTCTGATGGAGAACTCGTTCTTTTAAAAAACAGACTTATTGGCTGAATCACTAGATGAAAATAGAAGAGAGAAAGCCTAAAAAAAGAAATGTAATGTATACAGCTATCACATCTAACAATTGGTAAGCTGCATTATACTAAATGTTTGATTCCTCCGGGTACTCCGTTTTCTTCCCAAACTCCAAAGACATGCTGGTAAGTTAATTGGATCCTGCCTAAATTGTCCCTAGTATGTGTATGTATGAATGTGAAGTTAGGGACTTTAGATTGTACACCCCTTGAGGGTTAGGGACTGATGTAAATGCACAATATATATGTAAAACGCTGTGTAAATTGATATAAGTACCTTGAATAATTTTAAGTTTAATACTGCTTTAACCATTCCCTACCTTTAGACAAAAAAGAAACTTTTGATTTAGATATACTTTAAGGATTACCATAGATAAAGCAGCATTTTACAAGGTCCAGGTGCTAAATGTGCATAGGTTACATTGAATTTACCTACATTATTAAAATATCACACACTTTATATTTGCTGCCCATATGAAATAGCTCCACAAAAACTATCAGATACCCAGCTGCTCTGACAAATACCTGATCTGCCAGTATGGCCCTGATTTTAAATAATGCCAGATTATTTTTGAAACCGTGACAAACAGTAAAAGTTTTCTTCATGCTGACTAAAGCTTATTAGTATGCTGAGAATTCCTTCAATTTCAACAAAATTAAAAACGCACAGTGAAACAAAATGAAAAAGGTTATTTTTTCATTCCACAATATAATGTGCTATGTGTTTAATTACAAAACAAACGTTGCTTACATGACAATTTCATTTCATTTTACAACCAGTAATACTTTTTGCTGTAATATTCTTATGCTTCTGAAGTTTTGTAGCTCGCTTATGCTTAGGAGAGTAAAATGGTATATGGTTCTATAATCAGAAGATAACTTGGCACCATACTGCAGGCTGAAACATATTAGCCATATATCTGGAATAATCATAAGTAACAGAATTACACGGCTGTATTAATAAACACAGAGTGGTTCAGGTGACATTGCCATAAACCACAAGAGCCAAGCTCCAGTGTTTTATGTCACCACAACTAAGAGATGTTATTACCACCTAGTAAATTCACACTTGCCTAGTCTTTATTTAGTGAAAAGGTGTACCTGGACCTCCAGTGCAATTAACAAGGGGACTGCGAGGAGGAATTCATGACTCCACTAACTCACACTGCTCTTGTAAATGATTTGATGATTAAACTGAACAATACGACAATGTGCTTATTGTTTCTTGTTTGTGGTTATTGTTTGTGTTCAATTAATAAGTCTCCCCATGAATGCCACAAAGTGAGGCCAATGGAATCTTTGTGTGTTTTTTGCTTTATTCACAGATTGTTTGGTGTGAACAAGGCTGCAAAAAAAAAAAAAAAAAGTATTCCTTAACCTCCCTGGCTGTATGATTATTTCAGATTTTTGGTGCTGAAAGGGGTACCATTATTTTGCATGCAAATTTGGCTTTTTATATTGTAGGCCTGTAATTTTTAGGAATAACTCACTGAAATCTGTCCAAGAGTCTAGTAAACATCCTGGGTAAAATAAAACTTGAAACACGAAATCATAAATTATAATTTAATAAATAATCATAAAAAATAATAATAATAATACATTTAATTCAATAATATAAATCAAACCAAAAACACTGAAATTTGAAATATAGTGCCAAGTTCGCACATCACTGAACAAAGTCGCAAAATCGTTTTCAGTGTCTGATGACGAATTTCCCCACAAATCATTATCAATCAATTCTGCAAGTGGTTCTGATTTACTATCACTGTTCTCTAGCTGGTCTAAAACCGCTTTTGACCTAAAGGGGCGCTTTTTGGACGCCATGGACATTTCTCAGTTTCCAGGCAGAAAGAACAGTAAAAATGCAGGCAGGGCACAGGACAAAGCACTAGGGACAAAATGTATGTGAAATGGTTTGATACAGTAATGTTTTACTATGTGATTTTAGTGTATTTAGTGAATGTCACTGTCATTTTCAAATTTCCCGCCGTTCCGTCCAACTGTACATCCCAATGCTCGCAGGGGGCGGAACCCAGATGACAGATGCTGGCATCCGCCGGATTACATTGTCGGGGACACTGCAGGAGGGACATCGCGGGAGCGCAGGACAAGGTAAGTGATCGAGGGATCGCGGAGCAGCGCCTCATGGTAAGCCCGAGTGTAGCTCGGGGTTACCGCTTGTGGTACTGAAACCTTATCCCGAGCTACACACGGGAATACAGCCAGGGAGGTTAAACACATCCTATTTTCCATTTTTGTTTTGCATGCAACATGGCAATGACCTTGTTTTCTAGCAGTTATGAAGTTAACGCTGAACTCTGGGATATTCAAATATTGTATAAATATGAAAAAACAAAAATAAAATCCCAGTAGATCAGCAGTTTTTGAAATACTCAGACCAGCCCGTCTGGCACTAACAACCATGCCATGTTAAAAGTCACTTAAGTTCCCTTTCTTCTCCATTCTGATGCTCGGTTTGAGCTTCAGCAAGTCATCTTTACCACATCTAGATGCCTAAATGCATTGAGTTGCTGCCATGTGATTGGCTGATTAGCAAATTGTGTTACCAAGCAATTGAACAGGTGTACAAAATAAAAGTGGCCGGTGAGTGTAGTATTAAGTTTAAAAAAAAAACTGTATATGGAACAACAAAAATTGGAATCTCTTCTGAAAATTGTGCCAAATTAAGGTCATACTTGTATATTTGAATATTTTGCCTTTTGTTGCTTACAATAGCGGTCAATGAAAGAGCAAAATATGTTTACAGGAGTATAACTATTTAAATAAATGAGCCTACAGTACTTACATAATGTACAATCAGCTTCAGCAATATTAGAAATAGGCCTGCAGTTCAAAAGTCCAGTAACCATTCTAATAAACATTTTCTGCTATAGCACTGAATCAGATTCCAGATGTTTCTGGCATGTGTAAAATATAACAGTTTACATCTCAGGCAATAGCATCACTTTCATCCTTTTTCACAGCTGAGTAAACAGTTTAAACTAAATAAATAATCTCAATAAATATTTATCTAATAAATATCTGAACTTCTCTGAACTTCGTACTGTGTTGGCCAGCTGAACAAGTTTATCTCTGTACAAGTCAGTATATCACATGGCCAGATGTACAGCAGATAGGAATGGATGGAAGTCAAATTAAAGTGTACCTGTCATTCATATTTTATAGAGGCATGCATGTATTGGTCTGGCGCAATAAACGCAGAAAACACGGACATCTGAAATACATTCCATAGAAATTTAACAGAAATATACTGTAGATATGTTTAACCTCTCAATTCTGGTCTTTTGTTTTTCATCATAAATTTATTCTGACACA